TTCAAAGTCTCTCTTCTGTACATAGGCAGATCTCAGTGACCGTAGATACTGGCCAAGGATTTCTCAATTAACCCCATACAGGAAAGGATGCTGTAATTTCCTTCCAGAACTCTTTAGAAGTTAAATCTGTATGTGAGACCATCTGGAAGCACAAATGGCTGGCATTTTGTTCATAACTGAAGACTTTGGTCATAAGTTAAAACTAAAATTCCTGTCATAACCAAAGTTGTTCATATGTCAGGCCAACCATTACTCAAGGGTCCACTGTAATGGGAGAAAACTTTCAAGCATGGAAAAAGAATTGGACATACAGGTAAGTGAGGCATACAGATCTACAACTAGCCATGATAAAAACATCTATACCAAGGCATATAATAGTCACAAGAACAGAATATTAAAAGCTGTTAGAGAAAAGAAAGAAATCACCTATAAAGGAAGGGCCATCAGAATCTCAGCAGACTTCTCAACACAAACCCTATGTCAAAGAAGCTGTGAGTGAAGTATTTCAAGCCCTAAAAGAAACAACCTCCAGCCCAAACTAATGTATGCAGCAAAACCATCTTTCAAAATTGATAGAGAAACAAAATACTTCCATGACAAAGATACCTGAAAGATAGGAAAGGGAGAAGTTAAATTATCATTATTTTTCAATGATATGATACTCTACACAGGAGATCCCCAAAACTCCACCAAAAGACAGTTCTAAACTTAATAACCAAATTCAGTCACATAGCAGTGTGCAAAGTCAATACTCAAAAATCAATAGCATTCCTGTACACAAATAACAAAATCACTGACAACAAAATTAAGGAAACCACACCTTTCACAATAGTATCCAAAAAAATTGAAATACCAAGGAATTAATCTAATGAAGTAAAATACCTTTACATTAAAAACTACAGTTATCTGAAAAAGGAGATCAAAAGAAGATATCAGAAAATGGAAAGATATCCCTTGCTGTTGGGTGGAAAGAACCAATATAGAGAAAACAGCCATACTTCCAAAACTGTTATACAGATTTAATGCAATCTCCATCAAAATACCAATAGTATATCTCATAGAACTAAAGAAAACAATCATATCCCTCTGGCCAGACCGTCATCTCCGTCGAGGAGTCCTGGGTAATCATGACTATGGAGGAACAAGAAAACAGCCTGTTGCTAGACACAGGTGCAAGTCTCTCGGTCCTTCTTTTCAATCCTGGCCTTCCTTCCAGCCATCATACCTCAGTGAAAGGAGTCACTGGTGAGGAGGTAATATGCTATTTTTGACAACCCTTAGGCTGTAACTACTTATTAGATCCTTCTTGCATATCTCTGTCTTCCTGAGAAACCGCTTTGAAGATACCACCACATATTACAGCAGCCATTGATATTTTCCTACTAATCTATCCATAACTGTGTAAAGTTTGTAATGTTCCTATCCTATTTCATAATGTATGTTTATTATTATGTGTTTCCTACAACAACCATTGAGAATAGTTAATGATTTTTCAATAGGTCACTCATTTATAGCTCTATTTATTTTCTTTAAAAGCCACTTTGAAGATACCAAAGTATAGCACAACAACTCTTGATAATCTCCTACCTCTTTTGTCTCTAACTCACTATTATTTGTCTATTTGTTTTCCTGAGAAACTATTTTGTAGATAATAATACGTAAAACGATAACCATTGATAATTTCCTACCATTTTGTCTGTAATTTGCTAAGTCCCCCCTATTATTATGTTATCCTTCTTTTATTCTTCAAAATAAAAAAAAATAAAATAAAATAAAAAGAAAACAATCATAAAATTCATTTGGAACCAGAAGACACCAAGAATAGTAATTCTGGGCAACAAGGGCAAGCCAGGGGACATCATAATCTCCCACTTGAAATTATACTATAAAGCTACTGTGATAAAAACAGCATGATACTGTAAAAAAAAAAAAACTTCAGAAAACAAACAAACAAACAAAAAAAAAACAGATCCAAGGATCAATGGAACAGACTAGAAGAAGCAGAAAAAACTCCAAACACACTCAGCCTCCTTTTCTTGGACAAAGGAGCCAAACACCTTCACTGGAAGACAGCCTCTTTAATAATGGTGCTAGAAAAACAGGCTTTCCACATGGTGAAGATTAAAACTAAACCCAAACCTTTCACCATGCATTAAACTAAAATTGAAATGGATTAAAAACCTGTTCAAATAGAAACACTGACTCTACTGGAAGAGACAACAGGTAGAACTCTTGAAGACACTTATATAGGCAAACTTTATGAACAAAATCCTTACTGCACAGGAAATACCAAAAAGAATCAACAACTGGGATCTCATTTTATTAGCTTTTGCACAGCAAAGGAAACTACCAACAGAGAGAAGAGACAACCTACCATGTGGGAAAAAAACTTTTGCCAACTGTTCCTCAGACAAAGGACTAAAACATGAAATGAACTGTATAAAGAACTCAAAAAAAATCAGACCCCACCCAAATTTAAAGACTCAATCCAAAAACAGGCATCTGAAATAAACTTCTCAGATGAAGTAGAAACAGCAATATATATATATGAAAAAATGTTCATCATCACTGGTCATTTGAGAGATACAAATTAAAACTAATGCTGAGATTCCATCTCACCCCAGAGGAATGCCTATCATCAAGAAATCAACCAACAACAAATGCTATGAGGCTATGGGGAAAAAGGAACCCTTCTCCACTATTTATGGGAGTGTACACTTGTGCAATCACTGTGGAAATCAGTGTGGAAATGCTCAAAAAACTAAAACCAGAGGTTTCATTTCACCCAACTATTCCTCTTCTTGGTGGTATCTTCCTGAAAGAATAAAAAATATCATGCCACAGCAATATATGCACACATGTTTATAGCAGCACAGTTTTGTAATAGCTAAATCTTAGAAACAGCCCAAATGCCCATCAACCAATGATAAAGAAAATGTGGTTTTTTAATACAATGGAGTACTATTCCACTCTAAAAAAGGATAAGCTTAAGACATTTCTACCTAAATGGATGCACCTTGAGACCATACTCTCAAATGAAATAAATTGGACACACATGCATAAATACTATACTGCTTCTGTGGTATGAGAAACTCAAAGTATAAACCAGCACCAAAATGTATAGTAGATATTGTGAAATGGGAAGAAAATGTTCAAATGGGAAAGGAAATGGGGGGGGGTAAGAAAAGGAAAGAAAAGAAGGATAAAATGGAAAAAAGCTTTTGTAAGTAAGGAGGAAAAGGGGGCTGAAGGGAATGGAGGGGAACAGGAAAAGAAGTATGATGTATCATGTACAGGTACAAATTCCCTGTGATGAATGTTATCATTATGTATATCTAAAATGTATCCAAAAATTTTAAAAGAGAAACTTACTTTAGATATAATACCAGCAGTTTCAAAGTAAAAGGATAAAAAATACACAAAATAGAAATATTAATAAAAAGAAATCAGAAATAGGTAAATCCATAGAGAGAGCAAGCAGATTGCTTTCCAGAGCCTCAATGGAACAGGAAACAATTGCTAATGGTTTATTTGGGGGATTAAAAATATGTTCTAAAATCAGCAGTGAAGGTTATTTATTTTGTGATTATACTACAAGCCACTGAATTTGATGAGGGATATGGCTCCTTGGTAGATTACTTGCCTAGTATGTGTGGGGTTCTGAGCTCAACCTCCAGCATTGCAAAAACAAAAGTACTACCACAGAGTTATAAATTTCTAAAGGGTTAATTTTATGGTATGAGAATTATAGCTCAAAAATTATATTTCAATAAAGTTTTGTTTTTTAAAAACAAAATCTCAGCAGTAAAACAAACCAATTAGTACTGAGCTAAAGACATCAAAGAAGATGCAGGTATGCCAAGCATGCATGTGTAAAGATATTCAATGTCACTGGCCATTAGTGAAATACAAATTAAGACCACGGATGAACTGACACTACACAGCTATCAGAATGGCTTCCATAAAAATGATTATAACAAACAGTTGTAAGAATGCAGAAAAACTATGTCTCTGACATTGCTGGTGATAATGAAAACAACACAGCTACTTTGGAAAACAGCCTGACCGTTTCTTCACTAAAGCTATAATCTATAGAACTGCGCTGCTCAGAATAGTCCCCTTCAAATGAAATCTTATGTATGTAATTATTAATAGTAATGTATTTTAATATCCAAAAACCGGAAAAAAACAAAATGTACTACAATAGATGAATAGTTAATAGTAAACTGTAGTACACCCATGGAATGCTACCCAGAAATAAAATAGCCAAGAACCTCAATAGATCTCAAAGCTATCATTTTTAGAGAGAGAAACCAATTGCAAAAGGTCATATACTGATTCTATATATGCAGCACTCTTTAAATAACAGAGATTATGGAGCTAGAAAGCAGATGAACAATTGCCTGGAGTTAGGGAGAAATATGGAAAGGAGGGGTGGGAGCTCTTCATGGTGATGAAATAGTTCTATATCCTGAATAAAGTGGTAAACACAGGAATCCACATGTGTGGTAAAATGACACAGAATTGCAAAAACTTTCCTAGATTTATATTATAGCTATATGAAATGAATTAATGAGAGAAAATGGGTGAAGGGAACACGAGACCTGTCAGTATAATCTTTGCAACTTAACTGATACTGTTTCAAAATAGCTAGAAGAAACAAAATAAAAATATTGCTTAAAGAAGAGGTCTGTAAAAATTATTTTTCAGCAAACATTACTAGTAGTCCTTAAGTCAGGTTCTCTGACAGATATTGGAGTTGGCAATGAAAAACAATGCACGACTTCAAAGACTTTCTGATTCAGTGGTAGAAAGTCCAGACAATATAACACAGGTAAGTAATATAATTCTGTACTCTGCAAACTAAATTATGCTCAGAAAAACCAATACCTGGGGCTGCGGATTTAGCTCAGCGGCAAAAGCGCCTGCCTGGCATGCGCAAGGTCGTGAGTTCGGTTCCCGGTACCTGAGAAAAACCAAAAAAAAAGAAAAACCAATACCTGCTTCAAGCTGCTGTTCCCCGTTCATCTCCACAGCACATAGGCTATCTCCTCCCCACACAAAGGAAAGGCCTGATGGTCCTGCTACAATCTGAAGATGACTTGCAGATTTCAAATGTCTGTCCAATGGGCATCCAAGGATCCAAACGAAAGTGCTGAAAAATCAAAAAGAATACAAAAATACCTTGAGTCTCAAAAGTGTTTACTCACTCATAGCACATAGCACTTGACTGGGTTCAGAAGTAAGATAAAACTGGCAGAAGAGTTGTATTTGGGGGAAAAAACAGACATCTTTACTAACTTGGAAGAGTGTGAGAGAGAGTGTGCGTGTAGAGTGGTGGAGGGAGAAAGACAGCAAGTCCAAGAGATCACTCAGAACTCATTAAGACCTTGATGAGATAATCTAAAAATCATAACCACTAACGTGTATTTGAATCCCATCCTTTAAACTTAGATTACCATACTTAGTATACTTAGTACCATGATTCCTGTCCACAAAAACATTTCCTTATGGCTTTGAGGGTGGGATACGGTGTTTGCTTTCAAAGCTCTTCTTACCCAATGAGTAGGATACCCTATGTTATGAACTTCATCTAGTTTATCTTGTACTTTACACCTCATTTTCCATTTCATTCCATTAAACTATTAGGCAGAACCAAATTTGCAACTATGTTATTCTACAGTTACAAAGAAAATGCCTCCCAGGCCAGGGATACTCAGCTGCACAAGTGCCTGCCTGGCAAGCATAAGGTCCTGAGTTCAATACCGGGTACCAAAAAAAAAAAAAACAAGAACAAAAACAAAAACAAAAAAAAGAGAGAGAAAGAATACAATGAAAACACCTCCAAAATAAGCTCTGAACCCATTTTTTAAAAAAATTATTTTAATGGAGTATAATTTTCATATCAAAACTTTCTGCTTTATCCAGGTGTGGTGATGGCTGCTACAGTCCCAGCACTCTGGGAGGCTGAGGCTTGATTACAAGTTAAAGCCCAGCCTGGGCAACTTAGCAACTCGGTGAGATGCTGTTTCAAAATAAAAAAGGGTTTGGGATGGATATAGCTCTGTGTGAAGGCTCTGGGTTCAATTCCCAGTACAAAAAAAAATCCACTTTAAATGCACATTCTAATAAAATTTAGTAAATTAATAGTGTGTAACCATCACCGTAATCCAAATTTAGAATATTTTCTGTCACCCTGAAAAGAAGTTTAATGGTCATGTATGGTTCCTCCACCTCCCCTTTTTAGGTACAGGCCACTAATCTGCTTTCTGTCTCTAGAAAATTTTGACTTTCTTGTATACTTCACATAAATGGAATCATACAATATGTGACCTTTTATGTCTGCTTTCTCTCACTAAATTTCTGAGTTTCATCCATTGCAGAATGGATGAATCTATCTATTCTTGCTTTATATAGAGATAAAACAACCTAAGATATTACCTTTATATGTGCCTAACAGATTAGAAAAAAGAAAAATGAAAAAAGGAGTTGCTGCAGGATGGAGTCACATGAACTGAATGCAAGGGCAACAGCACAGTAAACTATGCAGGTGGCAAAGGTACCTCACAGCACCGCTTTGAGCGTGATATTCTTCAAGATCATATGCATTTTGAGTGCAAATGACAGCCCTTAGAAACTTACTCCCAAAAATAATTTTAATCACTAAGAAATAGCTTAGATTTTAATATTGTATTGCCTTGAAAAGGCAGCAACCTGAAGTATAACAGCTTTAGATGGGAGACAGGGATACCTAGATTCTTATTTCAGCTTTACTACCTGCACAATCTTATGCAATACTATACTATGTCAGTTTTTTATATGTAAATGAAGTAAGGTTTTTTGAGATTTTAACAATTTCATAGAAAAAGTTTTAATAACTTTTCAAAGTTATTAAAGTTATTTAAGTGCCACTTACCCCAATAGCTGTTTACAAGCACTGAAACCCAGACTTTCTCATAGGAACAACTGAACAAAAACTTGAGAGAGTGATATTTAAAGTTTAAATATACTCTTCCTGTGTACTTTTCTATCCCAAGCTCCAAACATTTAAACCTACTAACTCATTTGCTCCCCACATATTTATCAACACTATCTACTACTTTAATGGATAGAGGTAAAGCAATCCTGCTTTCAGAAAGTGTATTTTCAACTGGGGCGCAGACAAATTATGACAGCAATTTAAAGCAATTATTTAAAGTACTGTACTAAGAAGGAAAAGTACTTACTGGATGCTAAGAACATAAAGGAGGGCTTAACTTGAACTAGGAGGTCACTAGATGTCCCTGAGAAAATGACATTTAAGCTGAGTATACAGAGGAAATAGCTGTTAGGCAGAAAGTGTTAAAAAAGAGGGTTACAGAACACATGGAGACTCGAGGGACTGCTCTAGCTGGGGTGCGCATGTGGCCCCTCCCTGCGCGTGCCCTGCACTGAATGAGTGAGTGCTCCAAGATCTGCTGGTCCCGCGGTTTGAGTACATGCTTTACTCCCACTGCCACAGTTCCCAGCTAAAACTCGCAGAGTGAGCCAGACAGGAGGTCCTCACTCAGAAGTCCCAGGGACTGCTCTCACTGGGGTGCACATGTGGCCCCTCCCTGTGCGCTCCCTGTGCCGAGTGTGCGAGTGCTCCAAGAGCTGCTGGTCCAGCAGTTCAAGTCCGTGCTTTGCTTGCGCCCAGACAACCTAGGGGGTCGGATGCATGGGCAGTCTGTGATTGCTGTCCATCCAGCCTGCATCTGGTTCCTGTATGTGTCCTGAACTGACTGGAGACACAGAATCAGGTGGTTCATAAACTGTTGACCCTACAGTTTGTGTCTGGGTTCTGCCTGTACCCTGAACTGCCTGGGGACATAGGTCCCCTGGATCAAAACTGTCACACCAGTGCAACCCGAGTATGGGCCGTGCACATACCCTGAACTGCAAGGGGACACTGGATCAGATGGTCTGCCATCAGCTGACACCAATGCCCACGTCTGAGACCTGGGATAACTAGATACAAATCAGCAACTGCCAGAAATCCCGAGACTAACTAGTGCTTCTCAGGGGTCACTGAGGGGCACATCTGACCAACAGGAAAACTAGGGACACAAGTGGCTTTTGCTGTGCAGCCACTGAAGAGGGAAACTGAGCTTTCTGCATCCAGTAGCAAACACGACAAAACAAAGAACTAAAACACAAGCCCAGAACTCCATCACACTCAGAACAAGTCCAGGAGACA